TGGGCAGCTCTACATTTGGCATTTTCTAACTTTCAAGTGCTTTGCAACCCAAATAAAATTTTTATTATAGCTTTTGTGTGACCAGAATTGTGACTTCCTGTGTTACCCTTCTCAGCCGCAGTAATTGAGAGTTTTGCTGCTACAGAGCTATGTATCAGCTCCCTGACACACCAACTTATCTGTCCTGCCAGCAAACTCTTCAGGTTTCTGCCAGTCCAGACCTTGTCTAACAAGTAACAATCAGTGAATCCCAACTCCTGAGATCTCCAGAGATGGCTTTCTGCAGTGTCCAGCCCTCTCACTGAACACTCTCATAGGTTATTACGTTAGCTGCTCCCTTAAAGAGACAGTATCCAGCAGCTTATTACCTTAACGTGGGTTAACAAACACTGTTTTAATCACAGCACTGAATTGGTTTATATTAAAAGTACAAGTTTATTAAACAAAAAGACATAGGTTTCAGTGATTCCAAGTATGAGGAATAAAGTTAGAAAGGGTTACAGGCAAACAAAAGTAAAAATACTCTTGTAAGACTAAAACCTGATTTAATAAATTAGAGTCTCTTGTTCAAAGAAGTGTTTCTTACCAAGTCTCTTTGACGCCATAGCTGACCAGACTCTCTGGCCAGGACCCTTTGCAGAGCTCAGAGTACTCAGTTCCTTTGCCTCCTATCTGCTTATCTTTCCAAAGTTCATTGATCCTGCTTCAAGAGGAAGGAAGTCTTCCTGGGATGCAGTCTCCATCCCCCATCGAGATTAAGTGGTCAGCTTTCTCTACTTGCTGTCCTGGTGGCTTTGTTTAGCTTGCATGTTAATGTGCTTTCCTTGGTCTTTTGTCACACCTAGTCAAACAGGTGGAACCACATTCCTTTGTCTGGAACAGGTGTGGCTTAGGCACTGCTTGCCAAATACATTTTAAGAACATACTTCCAGCACATATTGATAAAGTCCTTTCTGGATTTACTGTACATACATAACACAAGAATATTAATGATCAGTGAGTTATTAGTTTTCCAAGGATATATTACTTGCCATCTTTTGGGTATATATCATGATAACAGTATGTCAACTGGCATTGGGATGCTCTTAGGGTCTCAAATTTGTGTGTGTGTGTTTAAGATAAAGGTAAAAAAAATTGTATGTGCAACTGTAGCAGCCTCCACCTCTTATCATGAATCATCAGCAGGGTCTGACTCCTAAACCTTCAACACTACAGAATAATCTGTTACTATTTGAGCTGCCAGACTAACATAAACTGGCAGTAGGAGAAGGCAGTTTTCCCAGAGTGGGAGGGAAATGGGTCGCTGGGTCCAGGTGCTGGGCTGAAGTCTGGTTAGGGGGAAGCCCTGCCTGCCCCCCCCCCCTCTCTCTCCTCTGCCCCTGGAGTTGAGGATCCTCCTGACTTGTTTGTTGCCCCCAGAGGAGGGATTGTCCACGGGGGCCATGAGGTGAGTCTGGGGGAGGGGAATGTGGGGAGCCTGATCCATATATCTCTCCTTGCCTGGGAGAGGGGGAAAGCACCTGACATGGTGCTCTTTGGGATAAATGGGCCACTGGGGCCATGCACTGGGTTTAGAGGTTTACAGTGAGTAGAGAACCAAGCCCAGTTCTCTTCCCACTCCTCTCTGACAGCTGCTCTGTGGCAGTTCTCTGGTGCCGCTATGGTGGTAGCATGAGCTCAGCCTTGAAATGTTCATTGATTTTTGACAAGCTTCCAGAAATTTCATGAGGCGTACAGCTGGGAGAAAGGAAATAACAATTTTTAATACGTTCATTCTCAGCGAAATTTGAATATGATTTCATGGGACAAAGAAAAGGCACTGTCATAACCCAGAGGGGTTGCACCTGCCATTTTTAACTGGCCTGCTGCAGACAATGAGCATATGAAAGCTGTTCAAATACAAGGTCACAAGAAACCTTTATATTCTGCCTAAGGTTGTGGGGGAGTCTCCATCATTTGAAATTTTTAAATCAAGATTGGATGTCTTTCCAAAAGAGATGCTCAACCTCAACCAGAGGTTATGGGCTTGTTGCAGGAATCACTTGGTGAAATCCTGTGAAACTGGAGGTCAGACTGGAGGATCTAATGGACCCTTCTAGCCTTGGCATCTATGAAATGGAAATTGTTATGCAATGTAAATATAGTAGTTGTTACCAGATTCCTCTATTCTGTCTTAGTTCGTGACTGTCAGTTATCAGTATATCAAGCTTCAGGGTTATAAAATGACCATGTTCTGTAATTTACTATCCTATGATTGCCACAGGATCAGTAGCCCACTTGTGTCCTTGATGCTTTCCTCCATTGTCTCTCCCTCTTTTTTCCTATCCTATTAGATTCTACTTCAGCAGGGTACTTAAGCACCTGTCTAATTTTAACCATGTAAGTAGACCCACTGAAGTCAGTGGGACTGGGCACTTGCTTAAAGTTAGGCAGGTATTTAAGCCCTTACTGACTCAGGGTCTTAAGGGACCAGTTGCTGTACCCAGTGCAAGAGCAGGAGAACTAAAACTGGTTTTACACTACCTTTGTAACTCCCCAGTTCCGAAGCTAGCCAGGTTCTGAGCCATTCTTGCAGCCACTGGATCACTCTGGAGCACAACATAACAGAACCCCAGCCATGCCCCGTTTTACCTTTACACCAAGAGTTTGGGGGGCAGGAATTGACGTAGAGCTGCTTATGCCAGCCCTGCGCCACCCAGGGATTCCTTCTCACAGGGTGTTAGTTGGACCAGATTTACAGCCTCTTTCCACCCCTGCAACAATGCAAAGGGACTGTAGCTGGGCCAAGAATCTGGCTCAGTCTTTTCAGTGTTAGTTTTAAATTAGGTGGAGGTGCTTATTTAAAAATATGGGAAATTCATATATTAGGTTCTACAAAGTATCCCCAGTAGTGATCTCTCGGCTGCCCATCACAACACACTACAATTCAGAACCCTTCAAGGTCTTTCAAGAAGTCAGCAAAAACTTGCAGCATCCCAGAATGCAGATGACTGTATCAAGAATCATTTACCTAATGGCACTGCCTGTCTCTAATGTATTCAGATAAATATAAACTTTTTATATATAAATATTTTATCTTTAAACGTTAATAATTCACAGAATAGTGCACATGCCCCAGCTTGATTTATTGTGGTAATATGCTTTGGTAATAGGAAATTAAATAGAAAGTCATTAATGTAATGATATTGTAACTTCAAGTTATATCATCAATATTTATTTCATACTAGCATTTCCTCTAGAGTTTTTATTATTTTCAATATTTACAGTGACTGCTTTAATTTTTGCTTTCATTTGTTAATATATGCTTCAGCGATCTTGAGTCAATTTAAGCTTAGCACTGCAGTGCCATCATATATTATTTAAATCTAGTATGAGAAGACATTTTTCTACATAATAAAAATATTTCAGAGTGTATGCATTTCTCTGTTGTTTAACTTATCTTTTTATAGTCCCATATAACGCACAGAAGGAGACTGCAACAGTCTTTCCACTGGCTTCAGTGGGCTTTGGATCTGACCCCATGGCAGGATGGCTTGCACTCAGTTGAAAGGGTGTGGGAGCATAGTTATGGCACTGCATTTGACACTAAGGACTTGTTTACATGTGGGATAATACACACACTCTGAAGGGTGTGATTTACAAAGTGCACTAAAGTATTGAGCATTACTTGGTCTGTGTAGACTCTGCTGGTGCACACTGGGGGTTCCCTAATGCACCTTAATATAGCTTTGTTGAAACAGTTCTATGTAAAGCACACTGGGGAACCTTTAGTGAGCACCAGCAGGGTCTACACTGACCAATTGATGAGCAACGTGTTAGTGCACTTTAGGAATCACACCCGTGTAGTGTGCATACTCTACTGTGTGGACAATCCCTAAGAAAGGGGGCTTTGTTAGAAAAATATTTCAAGAAATATTGATTGACAGGCTATAAAATAGTTACATTTTCTTGACACTCCACCAATCCCCATTTCCCAAATCTGCCTTTTTAACCAAATCTAAATGTTCACCATAATCTTTCTGTATATTTCAAGGCATATGAAGTGGTGATAAGATTCAGATTTCAAACTCAAAGCTTTTTAGCTCTCTGAGACAGTTGGAGATCTAGCCCATTGTTCAGTTCAACACAAACAGTGTGTGCTATTTCAGGTTTCGGGATTTTTCCTTTTTAAAAACAAGAATGTTTAATGTAAAAACATCTGTTAATGCACACATAGCTAAGGGAAGATACCTCAGGAAGTTCAGTTCTGATTTTCTCAGCATCTTTTACTCTAACACACTGCCACATACAACACATAAATATTATGGTGCATACAGTAATGCAAAATATGTTGGGATTGACATCAGAGCCATGACTTTGAATTTCCTGACTTTAGTGTATATGAAATTCTTTAAAATGTTTCTTAATCATTGCAATATTTTGCTTTCCCCCTCCCCTGTATTTCCCATTTCACTCTCCATACTTGTGGGCAATAAGAGGTGTAGCTTTACCCCACTCCGCCCATATTCACCCAATACTGTGGCCAGCAAAGCACTGCTGATGTATCAGGTGATATATGCTGCACCAAGTATTGGGCTGGCATATGTGACATTCGTCTTGGAACATGGTGGGGAACCAAGAAGGAGATTGTGGGTTTCTGAGTGACAGTTTGATTTCTGGGCTGCTCCTGGGTCAGTGAAACAATGCACTGCCCTGTACACAGGGTGTTGCCATGAGCCCTAAGTGAGGTACTATTTAAGACAAATAAGGATATCAGAAGCTGGCCCTTTCTAAGACAAGTATTAACGTTTTTCTTGCCCTAAGATTATTTTTCTCCTTTTTCTGCCAAACAGTGCTAGTTCAGTGCTTAATATCACAAAATCATTAACTGGCTTCTCTTTTTCTTTTTGTATTGTTGAATGGCTTCTCTGTTCCATCCTGGATATAATGTGGGGACATTTGTTCGCTGTTGGCAATGGTGTTATATAATTCACGCAATCCTCACAACGATGTATGGATAGCACATGGTGAGAAACATGATGAACCCATTGCGGCAGTAAACCAGGATGGTTATAGCAATTTTGAAGGGCCAAAATCTGCAAGCACTCCTAAAACAACTAGAAAAACAAAAGATAAAGCAACTGAGAAGGCAGAAAAAGAAAAGTCCAGTAAAGATAAAACAGCGTCTACATCTAGACCGGAATCTCAGGTAAGAGTAAATCCAGGAAGCCTGTAAATAATGTCTATGTGCAACCCCAACATTTCCTAGATGTTCTTTGGCACAAAATTATATTAACTTTCCCTCACTTGGTGGTTCCATATTTATAAATAAACTCTGTCCTCATACAGGGTGTAAAAGTGCTTGCAGGCAGCTAAACCAGAATAACCGGGACTACATATATTACTCTATGCCATGCTTTGTCTCCTTCCTAAATATGTAGAAATGTTGGACTAGATGTGTAAAATATGTTCATCTTGTGTTATATGATTGATGTATTTGTTTGGTCACAACACTATCATTTCGGAGACAAACTACAGCCAGCCCCTTTTGGAGATTACATGAAAGATATGTTGATCTCATAACTTGCACTTCAGGGGAATTCCTGGCCCGCATACACATAGCCTAAGCAGCTATGCAGTACTTGGGATTTCCACAGGGGCCCAAGGATGAAGAAAGGAGTCTTTCCACCACATCCAGCCTCAGGTCTGAAGTAGCTTCGGTGTTGGTTACAACCCTCCCATCAGGCAGCAAGAGTGGCTGGTGGAGCCACTTAGTTATAGATCTGCAGGCATTGCCCTGCCCACCAACTCCCCTCTTCTGAGGTAGCACTGAGGGTATCATTTTAATTTTAATCATCCTTCTATGGGAATCCCATAGGAAGGAGTTAAAGTGGAGGATGTCTCCATGAGGTTTTCATGTAGAATTTCTCCCTAATTGTTCTGGGAGGCCTCTTCATATACCTACAGCTTCCTTGTGATTCACATGGGGGAGGTCGGGGACATCCATGCTAACTATGGGATGCATCTTTAGCATTGTCCTCTGGTCCTTGGCAGTACAGCTTCAATGAAGCCACACTGTCAGGGCTTCTGCAACTGGAGGTGGTGTCCTCAGAAAATCAATAGAACCTCTGATTGTGTTAGATTTCTACCATCAGCTCTGAATGGGAAAAAACACGCCCACCTCCTCTCTGCATGTATCCTGACTGTTCAGAGAGCCCTTTGTAGGATGTAGGCAAAAGGTGACATGCTGCTCAGAGGGGGCTGAGACACTTTCTATTCAAAAGGAGCTCTGCACCTGAACCGATCAGGCACAATTGGCTTCTTAGGCAGAAAATTACCATCCTTTTCCAAAATGATTATCTCATTGGTAAGCTAGTGTCAGTGAGATACAGTTATTTTTAACATTGATATGCTTGAAATGGAATAAGAGAACTTTCATGACGATTTAATTCCAGCCATCTGGTGTGCAGCCACTCCCTACTGAGTGTGAGCACACCCATGAACATCAGAGGATGGCATTAATAAAAAAAGGCTTCCTTTGACAATCACGCTCTACTAAGCAGTGAATATCAAAAGCGTGCAGGACTCTCAAATAAGTGGGAAATTATCAAAGAGCAGAAAAAAATGACTAGATCCTAAAAAGAAATAATGAATGTAAACCAATAAGTTTAGTTCACTTGCTTTATTCCATTCCGCCTTCAGCAGTCTGATCCGAACAAACCTTACTGGATCTTGCGTCTAGTCATTGAACAAAGTGAGGCAGAGGTGCTGGAACTGAAGAAAGACACAGAGAGAGCAGATGAGATCAAAGCCATGAAGCAAGCATGGGAGTCTGCAGAACCAGGAAGAGCTGTCAAGGTAATCAGAGCTCATCCTATTACAGTTACATTGGGTAAAAAGTCCCAAGGGTGGTTTGTGTCAGAACAGTGCCAATTAGGAGATCTGCATTCACTCCCCAGGAAGAGGGACAGTGTTGCATAGTTTAAAGAGTGAGAAGTACCGATGGGAGTGGATTAACAGACTTCCATGGGGACAAACCTGTAAGGAAATGCTTCATATTCATTACTTGGGTCCTACTCCTGCAATCAGACCCACACCGCCCGATCCTTGCACTTGTGAGTATCTGATTGTGGAAACACGGCCCAAATTTCACAGAGAGAGATTTTGAAAAGCTTACTGAGGAAAAACATTGAAGTCAGGGGTAGTTCTTGCCTGAGGAAAGACTTTGGGATTTGGCCCAGAGTAAACAGTATTTTTTGTTTATTATTACCTTTTACTGTTGCTAAACCTAATGAAATGCAAAAACAATTTTTAGACAATTTTTTTAATTTTCCAAAAAACAGATCATAGTATTAAGAATACAGTCCAAACTTCTACAGAACCTCTCATTGCTTGTTAGTGAGTAGCACTTTAAATTCTTGTTTTTGTAAGTGTTCTGTTCTTTATGGTTAACAAAAGGTTGTTTTTACTGTGCAAGTGCTAACAGTTAAACAGCACCAAATCTAAGGGGAAAAGATATTTGTTTAAATATTTATTTTTATTGCTGATTTCTTATGTCAGTTCACACACTGACACAATATATGTTATATGATGCCATAACAGGAGGAAAGGCAATGTGTAAAACAGGCCTTGTTTCTCCAGACATATTTGCAGCACAAAATCTGTGTAAAAATCTCAATTTTTGCTTCCTGCCTCAGGCAGAGTTATAAACAGCCTACTGATGCATTGTTTTTAGATGATGCAGACAGCATTAGTATCATATATGTGGCATATACTGTATATATTCAGTATGCAAAGACTGTAGTGATAAGAAAGTCAACCACTTGAGTTTTACGCTGTTAATAAAATTATATTGCGTCCTCTTCATTTTACTGAACCACAATCATGAAGACTTATTTAGGGGCTTCTGCCCATTCACTTAAGAGCGCTTGACATAAATCGCAGTGTTACTTATTTCCCATGAATATGGCATGTTAAAACGAAATAACAGATGTTTTTAAAACATATATTGAAAACTGTTTTGTTTTCTAGGCTTTTCAGGAACGCATGCACTTTATTAATAAGTGCACACCGAAGGGTTCCACAGAGCCCACGGCTGAGCCTGAAAGTGTCAGTGTTGCACTGGGCCCAGGAGAAGGAGGTATGGGTATAACTTTGCTGCAGAAGAAGTTGTCCTACCTAGAAGAATTCTACTTTAAAGTTATTCAGAAGGAGTAATTACATGGCAGGTTGTTCAGTGCACGTTGGGGTTCTAACTAGTAAACACTACAATAGTTATTTATGTATGTTCCTTGCAAAAAACACATATCCTATTGAGCTATGTTTGATGTTAGAGGTCATAGCTGTAGAAATATTAAAAATGAATTCAGAAGCTGAAATAGTTACTATGATTCAAGGACATTACTATCTCTTGATGTTCATTTTCTGTTTTAATATGATGCTTACGAAAAGGGCCAGACCGACAGTTCTGGAAAGTGAAGTACTAACCACAGAGCACATGCAGCACATACTGTAGCAGCACAAGCTTCTCCACAGACTCTACAAATGCCATCCAACTTTCTGGTAGGGCATATTTCTAGGGGTAGTTCAGTTTTCATTCCCTAACGATCGCTGGACTCTGTGGGAATTCCAACAAAGGTAAAATTGTCCTGATGGTTATTTTGTTGCAGCAGCTTTCTGCTAAGAATAGTACTGAGATCAGTCCACTAGAGAGTACACAGTATCAAATACCCAGGCCTGGCTCCAGGCACCAGCTTAACAAGCAGATGCTTGGGGCAGCCAAGGGAGAGGGGCGGCACCTGCGGCAATTCGGGGGCGGCAGGTCCCTCACTCCCTCTAGGAGCGAAGGACCTGCCGCTGAACTGCCGCCACCGATCGCAGCTTTTTTTTTTTTGCTTGGGGCGGCAGAAATGCTGGAGCCGGCCCTGCAAATACCAATCTGATTGTAACAACTTTGGTCTCTGCG